ACTACAGAAAATGTGCTTTTATAGCAGCACAATAAACTGGTGAAAGCATCTATCCTTCCTTTTTCCCCTGACCTTGACATTACTTTTCAGTAACAAATACAGGGTGTGAAGAAGAGGTGTGAACACGTACCGGTGGTCAAATCARGAACAGAAATCTGCTGCCAATCTGACGGCTTCATCATCTGCACAGCACTTCTCCTGCCTTTTGTAACTGTGAGGTGTAGTGTCAACGTATATATTTAAATATTAAACGCCATCKCAGATGTGGTTTGATACTGATGCTCAGTAAGGTTAAATCAAAGAAAACTGACCACCACGYTAGTGAGAGCAACTGTAAAGTAAAAAGGTTTAAGAGGTGCGGAACCCACAGTGTAAACACACACACACACTCGTACACACCCCTAATGCTCCGAAAGAAAAACAAGGAGAGCAGCTGCTGCACGCTGCTGCACTCAAACTTTTATTTTTAAACTTTCACTTTGTGTCACTTCAGTGAGAGGAGTCCAAAACGACAGGAATGATGGGAACTTGTCACAGCAAAGCTTAAACATTTGCAGCTTATTTTCCTCGGCCCTCCGTGGATTTTCTTGGTAATCATCTTTATGTTAGCAGAGAAGCAGCACTCACCATGTGTGTATCTTCTGTTATATTAAGCGTATGCTTGGGTTTGTTTAAGCCAGGATTAACAGTAACTGACATGAAAAAATTATTTATGTAATGTTGGTATTTGTCGGCGCTCATTTAATCACTTGGTGTATTTATAATTTCTGTGGCCACASTGGGTACTTACAGCAGAATTCAAAGAATATTGTGACAAAGGTCAGTATGGCAGCAGCTCCTCAGACGTCAGTCGTGTGACAAGCTGCTAAATGTCACTGAAGGGAAAGCTGCTGGTGTGAAGAGGCAGAGTGCRAACAGCGGGGATTTCTCACAGACTCTTGTACAGAAAAAGAAGACAAATGCAAATTGTTTTGATTCAGTGATGCCTGAAGAATCAATAGAAAGTGGAACCAATGTGAACTTTATTTGACATAAATTATTGTAAGATAAGATTATGGTGGTATTTTCACTGTGACTGTGTAATATGCCACTGCAAACAGGATTTGACCTGTTTAAAAAAAATTTAAGGGTCATTACAAGGTTAATGAATGTCACACAATAGTGACAAAGGGTGCACTGAAAGCGCGGCAACTCTTCAGCACTGCAGTGTTCTGATTCTAAACTGGACTCAGTCCAGACACAAATGAACACAAATGAAAATTGCATCACACATTCATAAAATGCTGTTAGTCTGAGTCRCTTTGTCTGCTTTTACACCAGTTTTATATATTAAACTTTGTTCTGGAAAAAGCAAGTTTTAGATTTCTGATTTCTAAAATTCTGTAAAAGAAAGAAAAATTGTTCAAACAGACACCAGTAAGAAATCCTGACCCTGGTTTTATAAAATACAAATTCTATAAAAGTTAACAATAAAATGCTGGATTGCCTCTAAAGCCCCCAGAGTGAACAGAAAATAAACAAGTTTATTGTCCAAAGGACACAAAGCACAAACATTTTACCAAACCCTAAGGTCACGGTAAACAAGACGATAAATTGCAGCAAAAGTGCAGAAAGTGGRGAGGAAAACACACATAAAAATATTCAATGGCCGCTTTGTTAGCTTGACCTCAAATTCAACCAATTTTGCAAAATTAAAATGGAACAGTGAGAAAATTGACAAACAAAATGAACAACTTGAGGATTGGGTCACTTTATTTGTTCTATGGACATTAAGTGTGGATAAAGTGCACAGAAATTTGCAAAATTTGAAACAGACAATGAATATATGCTGTGAAGGCACGACACAAGAAAGTCTTTATATTTAAAATAAAGATTTCCTCTTGGAATTTTAGTTTTTCCTACAAATAAAAGTTCCCAGATTGTTTTCATTGTGTTGTTTAACTTGAATGAAAGTGTAAATTGATTGCAGCTGTGGGAGATGATTTGTTTCAGGACTCAGCAGATGAATAATTTTCTGTGCCTAGTGGAGTATAAATGTAACCAGCACACACATGACTAAATACAAATGTTTATTCATTAAGCCCGCCTACATGATATCTGTGACTTCCTATAGTTCAACTGGGTCCATTCATATTAGAAAATATTTTACAACAAAAAACAAGGAAGCTTTCAGTCATTTCAAAGCAAAAAAGATAACAAAAAGGCCTATCATCAAGGAATGCATACTGCCTGCTACCCTTAATGCCAGAATGTTAAAGAAAATCTAATGATAAGCTGCAGCCATTTTCAAACGTTGCATATTGGGCGCAATTTAATAAATTCCCAAATAATGGTCATGGTGCAAATGATATACTAAGATTGCATGCTCAAATGATAACAGGTGTAAAAGTAGTGCAGACTGCACTATTGAAATGAGGACTTTGCATGTACTATCTCCACAGACACTGCAGTKGGGCAGATAACAGTGACTGAGGTTGGGGGCAAGTAAAATGACTGCAGCCAGTTTGCTCCCATTTTTACAACATGATAAATATAGACACTAAAACAGCAACCACAATCCTCCTAGTCTTTGTGMATAGCATCATATATTCTGTATTTTCACAAAGTCAWCATACTAAATGAATCRCTTCTRCTACTTTGCTCATTTGACAGATGCGTCCCTTGTTACACAGTTAGTAGACCAGCTTTGCACATGCTTTCAAATTTGCATGTCTTTTTACAAACCTCTAGTAAATCAGACCCRTTTTGTGCAATATGAGACCTCTTGAGGATTGTTAATGCTCAGAGAATGTGCAGAAAAGTTAGAGCCATTTATTTGTTACCAAAAATCAATTAGCCATGGCGGCTGTTTTGATCTGGCTGGTGTGAAATGTTAACGAGTTGTGGCAACAATGACAATTTCATGAAAGTTTGACTAAATTATATCCAGACCTGGCAAAACCATTAATGTGGCTTTGCCTTCAACGACGGGTGATAAGACAGCAGTGATGAGAAAGAAACAGGGCCCCACTCTGATCCACTGGACAGCGGGCAATAAAACATCACGTTCCTCATCCAAATGGGACCTCATCCAGCTGCTCCATGAACCTGATTAGTTGTAGACTCAGCTTTTCACCTTTACTGGTATGTTCCTACAAAACACCCTCCCTCACACAACAACGGGGTTATGTCATTTGTTATTTACATCAAGTCAAGTGTCTTTTTGCTGACCTTMCATAAAACGTAGACACAGGCATGGATCAATGCACCGCTCTGCACACTGATGCACACTTTTGAATGTTGCCTGCAAAATGTTAAAAATGAAYAAAGCAAGAATTGTTCAATCACAAAGTCAAACGGTTTTAGTTGTAATTGTTAACAGTGTGACTGTCATCTCTTTTTCTAACAGATAAAATATTTAGTTCATAATGAGTCTAAACAAACAGAGCCGAGGAAAGCATTTATTTGTTTGTGTTCCAGGAAACACCCACAGAACAATTTCCGAGAAGATGTTCAGTTGACTTTTCAGTAAATAATGATTAAAAACCTATCTCAAGAAAAGAAAAAGATTTTTGGACAAAAATGAAATGATGCAAACTTAAATAAGCTGTTTTATTGTGAAAACACTTTAACAATTGTTTTTAATTATGTATATAAAATATTTGGGTAATGTATCTGTCCATCTGTTATTTTGATCCCTTAATCATCTTTTTGACTATTAGAAACATATAAAATACAAATGTTTCATTTTTGACTCTTACTTTTCCAGAAATGTTTGATTCTTCCAGTCAAAACAAGTTCATGACATGACAAAGGCACCTTTGTCCTTCGCCTTGACGCATTGCTGCTCAGGAGACTCTTTGCAGCGGTCCTGACTCGTGATTTCAAATGGATTTGATGGAGTGCACAGATATGCTGCAGCAGCAATATCAGCAGGCAGGAAAAAGGCTTAATTACTGTTGTTAGAAAATAAAAATGGCCTGTGCAATTATTATTGCAGTTGACAGGGTCATGAAGAATATCAGCAGCAAAATATATTTGAAAATCTGGTCTTGCAGACTTTTCTATAAAAATAATCACTTCTCAGGCAACCTGATAAGATTTCTGTAATTATCATTCATGTTGTGACTTTCAAAACAAACACTCCAAAAGTGGATTCAATCACTTAACCACAGGTGTTTAAAGATCACAATATCTGTTGTTCCATCAATCATTCAGTTAGAGAGCAGAAACTGAAGACAGTAGATGATTTACTTTGACTTACGCGCGATGGATTCTTATGCATTTTTAAGGAAGTTGCAATAAAACTGCAAAATCAATTAAACAAATAAATCAAACTGGTTATTCAATTCATGCAGCTTTTGAGTTACCTAATTAATTAGTTAGGGTTAAGGTTAAAAAATACAGAGGAAAAATGAAAATTTCTTTAAAACTCAGAGAACTCAGCTTGTCATTACAACTACATACCTTTTGAGGCTTTATACTGTAGTACTGTCTCAACTCCAAACACATGTATGAGTGTGGCAAAGAGAGCAAATCACACAAAAGCCCCAACACGTATTTTAATGTTTTTTTAACCTAATGAAGTTTATTATAAGAATTACACTTTGTTTCATTTTAAAATAGCTTTCAATCCACAGTATAAGTGTTCCACTTACCATGACAGAGTGACTTTAAGACAATCAGTTAACTGTCCTGCACATTAAGGCACAGGCTGAGTAAACTTATTCTGACTGTGAGACACTTAAAAAAGAAGTGATTTTAACATTTGCTCACACCACACAAGATAACCTCACAGCTAATATCAACATGTGTTGTAACAATACAAGCACAAAAGCCAAGAAGACAGATATACGGAGAGTCATCGCTTGATAAGTTCAAACACACAGAAACTGATCAGATAGTACAACTAGAGCTTCTGATGAGCAATTAAAGTGCCACATACATAYAAACTTCTGTTTATGCTAGACTCACCAAGAGTACCACCAAATCCCACCAGCACAAACTGTTTCTGTCCTTACCTTAATGAGAGGGTATGCCAGAGTTGGCTGGGGACCATGGGTGTTGAGTCCAGTCCAAAGCGAAGCTGGTCAACCCTTCAGTCATGTGCAGCAGTACTATGAGCAGCTGAATGCAAAGACGCGAGGAAACTCTGGTGCGAACTACAACACTCAGGCGCTCCGTCATGCAGCAAGAAGATCCACTCGTGAGTCAACAGCAGCCTGACAGCTGTGCTCAGACAGATCCAAGAGGCGACAGATCGAGACAGACTCATGGTTCGGCTAGGCTCTGATTCTCTCTCTCTCTCTCTCTCTCTCTCTCTCTCTCTCTCTCTCTCTCTCTCTCTCTCTCTCGGTTTTTAGCTCCCACTCTTGCTTCAGTTCTTTCTTTGCTTCTCAGCTCTCCCTCGCTACTCAAATCTCTTTTAAGCACATGCATTCTCCATACTGCATCTCCTCTCTCTCTCTCACCATGATACACACGCACACACAAAAAAGCTTGTTTTTATATCCTTGTGGGGCCCATCCATTGACTTCCATTCATTTTTTTTTTTGTAATTTTACATCCTAACCCTGACCACAAACCCTGAGGCTAACCTCACAGGTACCTACCTGACGCTAAAACTAACCTAAACTCAATTCACACCTTGGTCCTAAACCAAATGTTTCAACAGCAAGTGAAATCAAAGCACCATGGTTAATCTTTGCATCAGTTTACCCCTATAAACTAAGATATATACCATAGTGAATATAAATTTCCCCACAAGTCATTATCTTAGAAAATACCATTCAAAGCATGTTGTCACGCCTGTTCATGCAAAAAAAAAATAGTAATAATGTGCTGCTGAGAGCTCTGTCGTGGTTCCGAAGGATTTAAGGGATTTTCATCCATTCTGTTTCCTGCAGTTTTTTTTTTTTTTTTTTTTTTATCGCCTGTCTGTCCAAGACTGAGCCACCTGTTTAGACTTGGATACAATACCCTGATGTTTCTCTGAATCACTAGCAAACACAAACAGCAGCAACAGAAACACACCTGGTGAGCTGACAAACAGCGTCTCCTGCACCTGACACCTGCAGTTTGTGTGAATGAGCAGACAAGACAGATTAAAGTCAGTTTTCTGCCTTCCTTTAAACRGATACCTTCCCGATATGAAGCCAGTCAGAACCAGTGACTAATGAGAATTGGACAACAGTGGTTCATGTGATAAATCAAGATATAGTATACCATCACAACCGATAGCCATTGTAGCTGAACCTTAAACTTTCATTCAGCTAAAGGGGCAATATTATGCGTGTCTTAGGCATACATTTAAATACTATACCACAATAAAGGATCTATGTCACCTTTAGTTGTTATTTAAATGATGTTTTTATGTTTAAATAGAAAATTAACTTATCTACTCATCACTTCCTCTTCTAAACGCCTTGAAATTGGCCTCTGTCTCTTTAAGAACCTCCTTCTGCTTCTGGCCCGCCTTGTTCAGTGCAGGGAAAGGGGGGTGGCTATGATGCAGTTTACTTGGCATCAGAAAATACATTTCCTAAAAGGTATTTTAAATCTGAAAGTACGACGATGTATTAGGGCCACGTTGCAGATGAAMAAAAGGAGGAGCAAATCTCTGAGAAAAATCTCATAATTTCTGAGATTAATTGCAGAAATTTTCGAGAAAAACAGGCAATTCTCTTACGTTGGAAAGTCGCAATTTTGCTAGAAAAAACTCAGAATTTCTGAGATTAATTTCAGAAATTTTCGAGAAAAAAACAGGAAATTCTCTTATTTTGAAAAGTCGCAAATTTGCGAGAAAAACTCAGAAATTTCCACAATTGAAGGCAGAAATTTGCGACATTTAAACTAGATATTTTCTGACATGTTAAAGTCAGAAATTTACAAGAAAAAAACTCGTAAATTTATGAGAAAAAAAACTCTGAAGTTTTCAGGAATGGCTAAAGGGCGATTCCACCTGTTTTCACTACCTTGAGCATCTTTAATCCGCTCTAGTTTAAAAATTAAAACACATAGAGACTTCAAACCTGCACTCTCTCTCTTTCTAATCTCAGAAATTCTGAGTTTTTTCTCAAAGATTTGCTCCTCTTTTTATTTCTCTGCAAAGTGGCCCTAATACGCCGTCACAGAAAAGAGCTTCACTGAGTGAGAAATAGTGTTGAGAGCAGCAGACAGTTTCACTTTCACTTTCACTTTGCTTTGTTACTGCCAAGAGCCTGCAGGAGTCATGGGCGGGTGTGTGGGGTGGGGGATGGGGAGATGTGCTCCGTGATGAGGAAGCTTGGCTTAAAGACACATCCCAGG